TTTAAGTTACGAGGCACAGTTTGTTTTGATTTCTGTGGGAACACGGCAGCTGGCATTTCAATCATATAGGCACAACAGTACAGTCTGCATTTGAAGAACTTCAAATGCCATAAAAAAAGATAAGATAAACATGAGATAAGATAAACATATTTTCATATTATTATGAATATCTAGCTTTACATTTATGTAAACTTTTGCTTGGTCTTTGTAAAGGTGGCGTGCATGGAGATATTTCTTCGAAGAACACCATGTTTTGCACAGTAACCTTGATTTAATTAGTCTAGACCAGAGTTTATAAATAACACATTTAGTTATTCGAATAGTATCCTGAAGTGATCCACTCTATAAAAAGCAGTATCTATTTTATGATTAAAACCAAATAAAACAGGCTCTAGTGAATTCTAGACTTTTAATTTCCGGCGCGTTTATGTACGTAGCTCTTCTTCGTTACTTGTAAAAAAAATACGCATTTCTTTTTTTCCGAATGAGGCTCAAAATATATATTTTTTTCGAAAAACGGAGCTAAAATCGACCGATTCAAAATTTAGTTAAAAAATTACAATTTTCGAACATTTAACATCAATAGTCACCGAAACAAAGGGTTGCTAATGTTCCCCAATGGAACACGAAGAGAGCTCATAATATTTTGAAAAACGTTGCAATTCTCTTTTAAAACATCCTATAAGGCTGTAATTACGAATGTGAGTAATTAATTTTAGTTTTTCCCGCACCGGTAAAAAGGGCTTTGCGTCACGTTGATTGGTTAGCTAAGAAGTGATTAGCGAGTAACACTCAGCTCCACTCAGCCGTAGAGACAAATCTCACGTCGAGAGTTTAATTTCAGACTCCTCTTCAGTTTATTGACTGAAATAATTGTTTATTTTTCTGTCAGGCATATACTAAAATACTTGTTTACCTCGAGCGAGTGTCGGTGAAAATGATAGAGATAATCTCCATCGATATCCACCTCTACGTTGGTAAATAATTATTAACTACCCCTACAGAGAGAACTTTACAGCGAATACAAATGGTTATTTGTGTTTTTTAGTCTACGGATATTATAAGAGTTTGTTAGATTTGTTTGATTTGTAGCTGACTGGTGTGTACTTGATAATTTTTCTTAAAACTAGAAAAGAAACCAGCCATAGGTTTGAGCAATTAGCAGGTGTGGCAAGACTTGAGATATTTTGATTCGCTGATGGAAAGAAAGCTTACTTTAATACCTTCATCAATGTTTCAAATATTGTGGTAAACAATAAATTGCAATCCGCTTTAAATATCAATGTGGCAAAAATACATTGCAAATCGTTCTCAAAGAATATTCTGTCGAGGATAGACACTCATCAAGTGCATCGTTGAAAAAGGATCGTTTAACAATTGAAGGTAGGTAGAGTTTCTCTTTTTGCGGTTTTGTAAATCTAAACCTTCTGACATCTCTCTTTAATTTCAAACTCTTTCTTTTAATTAACAGTCACACACGAAAGTCTTGAAAGTTTTACGTTTCAAGAAACACTTCTTAAACTTAGGCGATTTTATTTAATACATGAACGTCAGACAGAAACATGCTATCATGAAACACTCTTTGATAACGTTCATCGAAGCGGCTGTTTCACAGAGATTTGATACACTTCGACCTTAGCTTTGCGTTCAACTAATTGTAATCGATACACTTTTAATCGGCAATTACTGCAGTAGAGCAATTGAAACTGGTTCGTTTATTTTTTAAATCAATTCCATTTGCCAATCTTAAAGTGAAATCAAGACTGGATTGTCTAACATATTTTCGGATTACGGCAGATTGGTGATTCTGTACAGCGAGACAACTACACTCCTTACTGTCTTCTATGTCTCAACATGGTAATGGATCTTGCGGCTAACGGTAAAAATTTTGGCTACGTTTCTTTCCGTTGAAGAAAAGAAGAAATGGAAGTTAGTTGCGGGTTTAATTATGGTTTATTTTCAAAACGCTTTTTTTTGTAAAGGACACATGGAACTTTTGAAAGTTTAAGTTTCAAGAAACACTCCTAAAACTTGGGCGATTTCTTACATGAACGTCAGTTTTTGATAAAGTTCATTGCAGCGGCTGTTTCACTGAGATTTGATGAGCTTTAGCCCCGAAAAAAATCGCAGCATGCATTTTACGAGGCGCTATATTTCTGTCATCAGTGTAGAGAATTACATTAACGATTGCGGTCGGTAGGTGTCTATGCGGTTATTTAAACATGTTGATTATAAGTTAAAGTTCCCTAATAATTAATACTTCATCTATGCTCGAATTTCAACTACGAAAACACAATAAATCTTGCTTTGGAATCACTTGGCGCAATCTCATCATGGAGGCCGAAGTCTTCGATCGATCGATCGATCGATCGATTTCTATGGTTACGGGATCCAATCTCGACCCCAAAAAGTACTGGTATATGCTAAAGAAAATTTAATGTAAAATCAGGCCGAATGCTTTTGCAAAGAACGAATTGTTTCGTCGATTCCTCGATGACTACAATACGTTCTGTCCCACCAGCAGGTCTCAAGCGCGCGAACAAAGGCTGTTCGTTCAACGCCAGGTAACCAAACAACATGTTCGCATATATTCAATTGGTCTCTGTGCCGGACTAATTAGACAGGGAGAATTCCAGCAGATGGATTCGCGAGGTCTCAAAGTATAATCCTGTTGTTGATGCGGTAAATCAAATCGCTCTCGACCGTATACTTTAGGCGGGAAATGCCTCCAGTCGAAAAATAATGGGAAATTGCAAAGATGTCTGTCAAGAATAGCCGAGCTTGACAACGACATTCAGGAACTAGTAAAGGATAATAATTGTGATAGATGCCTCAACTTTCAGTCAAGAAAAAGAGTCCCGACAAAGAGCGGTCTCCTGATATAAATTAACGTGAATTCAATTTTTCGTGCCCTCTTGGGTAGTGTATACCTGAGGGTTACTTTTAATATCTCCTATACACTCTTGGATAATGTATACCTGAGGGTTATTTTTAATCTCTTCTATAACCTCTTGGGTAGTGTATACCTGAGGGTTATTTTTAATTTGTTCTATACCTCTTGGGTAGTGTGTACCTGAGGGTTGTTTTTAATCTGTTCTATACCCTCTTGGGTAGTGTATACCTGAGGGTTATTTTTAATCTGTTCTATACCCTCTTGGGTAATGTATACCTGAGGGTTATTTTTAATCTGTTCTATACCCTCTTGGGTAGTGTATACCTGAGGGTTATATTTAATCTCTTCTATACCTCTTGGGTAGTGTATACCTAAGTGTTGTTTTTAATCTGTTCTATACCCTCTTGGGTAGTGTATACCTGAGGGTTATTAATAATCTCTTCTATACCCTCTTATTAACTGAGTGTTATTTTCAATCTCTCTTATACCTTCCTGGGTAGTGTATACCTGAGGGTTATTTTTAATCTCTTCTATACCCTCTCGGGTCTTTATCCTCCTTACACGGCAGACGCGTAAGACGATATTCATACGTGTGAATTTGTTCACAATGACCCAAAATGCGATAACGGTGTTTCAGACCAGCTTCCCCCCTGTTATAGTCGAATTTGGCAAGAGTGATGTCTTTGGTAAAGATAAAAATGCCGTTCCAAAACCTTCACACAAAAAAGGTCATTATAAGAATAATTGCATTGCGTCGAAGCTTGTAGACTGAACGGAGAGACCATCAGTTGAAAGCGATGTGTATTTTTTGGATTATCTAATCAACACAGTTTTTGGACTTTAAAAGTTCAAAACCATGACTTGTGTAAAGAAGGGTTTGTCGGAGTTAGCCTTAGATTGGCCCAGGTCTTCGATCATGGAGGTGAAATCAGCTTTGCCGATGCTGCTTTTTTGGGCTATTTTTGAGTTTCTTCTCTTTTACGTGTTTTAAAGTGTTCCTGTTATATGTTTATGTAATATTTGGTCAGGACTATTTGTGGACCTTGTGTTAACGATTTACTGTTGTCTTCCCTAAGACATTTATTGTCTCTACAGAGAAAATAAACTTAGCGTACCGCCCTTAGGTTTTTTTGAATTAGACCCGTTAAGTTTGTCTGAGGCATTTCTCTGGACTCTTGTTTCTGGAAAATGAGCGAACAAAGTAGAGTTGTATCTTGAAAATGATTAGAAATGTAATCACCGGAAGTTGCGGTTTTTTCCATTTCATTCGAGGGGAGCTTTATTAACTTTTTTACAGCGATTATCGGATGTCCTGGAATGTTCATCGAACACCTCATGCCACCAAGAGGCGTCAAACCTTGGCTTGAATTACTTATGCAATTATGAATGTGCAGCCAGCTAATTTGCATAATTTTTTTCCGACGCAAAGCTTGTCATGGCGGGGATTTAGCTTTGCATTCAAGTGACTGTAACCGACACACTTTTAATCAGCAATTGCTGGTTCGTGTATTTATTTATATCAGTTCCATTTGCCAATATATCTCCCTCCATTGCAACTTTGACAATGAAGAGAAATCAGCTTAGCATTTGAGCTGACAATCAATTCTCTATAAACTGTGTTCAGCTTAGGCTAAACTTCAGGGAACGTTTACGGCTCCTTTTGTAGAGCATTCCTAACACAAACCGTCGAGGAGCAATTTCGTTTGGGCTTGAATGTTTGCCTAGTCTTCTTTTCATAATTCAGCAAAAAGGTGATTCTGTAGTGAAGATCGACTTCACAGCGAGACGAATACACTCTTTTCAGTCTTTCAAAACATTTACTGACTCAGAAGAAGGTCTCAATATGGCAATGACTCTTGAGGCTAACGACTAAAATTTTGGCAATTTTACTGCTAACGATTATTTTCTTTCCGTTGCAATTACGATAATTGTTACGGTTCATGCTTTAAGGATAACAATTTCGTAGTTAATTTAAAAAATGCATCAATGCAGGTCGCTTTTAAGCAAGAGACCCAAATATCTATGTATTTCGTTCCAGATTACCCCATGCTTGTCAGGTGAAATAATCATGCATCTTTTTTTTCTTCACATTAATAGTGCTATTGCCATGGGCATCGTACAATATCTCCAAGTCGTGCTGTTTGTATTCGATTTGACCCTCTCCACTGAGGCACAGAAAAAAGTAACTTGTCAAAACTTCAAGTTTGCTATCGATGACGATGTCATCCATAACCAAATTCTTGAGGGTCACGTGTTTGAAAGATTGACAGTCCCAAACGCCATCCAGTGTCACTTGAAGTGCAAAGATGACTGCCTGTGTGCATCCATGAATTATTTCCCTCTGTCCAAAGAAAACAATTGTGAGCTCAACGAAGCTAACAAAGACATGGAGCCAGCGGCGATTAAATGGAGGCAAGGGGGAAATTATTATGATTTGGTGAGAAGCTACACGGTGAAGGTGAGATAAGATTATTTATCTCATGTTTTACTCATTTATTCATGAACTTCCGTAAACAAAATAAATATCCCAAGATGTTCAAGTTCGTAAATAAAATAAATATTTCCACATGATCAAGTATTGCGGTACCCCTTAAAAAACAGGTCTGTTATATGTCAGTCTGGGCCAAAGACAATTTTGTGCATACCGTTTTGTCTGCGATATGATTGGTCTAGACAAAACCAAAACAAAATGATTTGGCTAAAAGAGGATTGGGTTCATTGCCTTTCTCGAAAACTTTTTTCTTAACGGCCATGCTGTAATGCGAAGGGAACGGCAGAACAGAAGTAACAACAAATTGCATAAAGACATCATTGACTTAACCATTACTGTATTGCTGTATTTCAAATCTAATTTTGATGGACATTTCATCTCCATTCTGGCACCCCGCTATGTGTTGTAGGCACACGTACTTTGCTCGCACTGTTTGTTATCGATTCGATCCGTTTCCGGTGAGAATTGTTGATGGTTGCTACAACGCACATGCCAACCCAATTCGATGAGCATGGTGAGCTAAAACATCCTTTAAATGCCGCTGTAGGGTGAGGACAAATATACACCAGAGAAGCATCATTGCATCAACAGATGCTGCCACATCAATCCTTGTCTCAATGGAGGGGTATGTCAGGAGATTTGTGACACTCACAGCACCAGGTTTAACTGTACCTGTCCTAACACCTACTCTGGTCAGCGGTGTGAGAAGATGAAACACCCGAGAAGCTGCAAAGACATAGCTAAGAACGGTGCCTCGACATCAGGAAAATACGACATCTTAAATTCAGACAATGAACGGTTTTCTGTTTACTGTGACTTGCAGTCTGAACATGGCTTTGTATGGACGTTAATACAATCGTTTTCCTTTTCCAAGAGAAATACCTTCAATTATGCAGGGTTTGGCAAAAACCTTGAGATTGATATTGAAGAGGGGGAAGTAAATTGGAACGAGTTCCGACTATCCTTATCACAGATGCAGTATCTTGCTAATCACTCCACACATCTGAGAGCAACTTGTAACTTTTCTACGGATGGCCTGCAGTATACGGACTACGCACGCGCTAAGCTGGCAGGTCATGACATTTTTGGTACCTGGGACACCTGCCAGATGTACGAATATGTCAATATCCGAGGAGTCTATTGTTCTAATTGCACTGCCCTCACAAAACAGCGGGAAGATGCGTCCTGGCACATAAGGAGTTACGCTAGCATAAATGTGGGATGTGAATTTGATGGAAAAACAGGTGGAGTCTCCGGTGAAAAAAATTTCGGAAAATTTGAAAAAAAACACTTGAATCCGGATCACCGCTGCTCGTTTTCTCCTGCTTCTACAAAGCAGCATTGGTTTGGAGCTAAATATGACGAGTAACTTTTTGCGAATTTATTTCCTTTCACCGAAGAGGAAAGACAGCCAACTGAAAGTTGGAAAACATCGGAGCAAGGCTAAGAACTAACAATGACATCAAGTGCCTCAAAGTTTGGTCCAATTAGGAGTTGAACTTGAACTACACGTTTAATATTTCAGATAGTTACACTGACCCTTTATCATATAGGAATGCAGACATGCACAAGAGTGACGTCATAAGCAACCTTAGACCTTAGATACACAGCGTCCATATCTCAATAATTGAAGGAATTAGGCGGTCTCTGAGCAAACACTCTTTACCTGCTCTTTCATCTTTTCATGTAATGTTCAATAGATAATACACTTACATCTTAATTAAAAGTGAAAGGTCGATAAAATTGGCCTTTTTTTTATATTCGTCTTTGAAAACACATTCAGAGCTCACCATTAGTTGATTTATGCAAATTATTTTCAAGCAAGTGAGTAACCGTAAGTTGAAATGCTTGTGTTTAGATTCAGAGATGTTTAAATACCTCCGTACGCTATTAATTTAATAATGACATGTTTTGTCGTCGTAGGGCGACATTTTCTTGACTCGGTCAATCAACCGTTTTCTCTTAACTTTTACTTTACTTTTCTTTTTTTTGAAAATTAGCTTCGGCTTCGTTAGTTTGATCATTTGTAAAACTAAGCTTTAAGTTTAGGTTTCTTGATTTCGCTTTAAGAAATCCGTACAGTGAGGAGAAATGGTATTTACTTAGTGGCAGTGATATTAGTAATTTCTCCTTGGTGATAAATATGTACAGCTTTGCTTGATTTTAATATTAGGGACTCGATACATAACTGTGAGAAGCCCTCAACAGCCTCTCTTTGACAAGGACTAAGGTACTTAAGTGCTTCGTTAGGATCACTGCTTACTTAATAACATTGCACATTTGTTCTTAGAACAATTTTTGAAATGTTTAAAATGTAGGAGATGAAGTAGGTATAGTTGTCGGAGCAGGTGTTTGTCAAGAGAAGCACCAGTGAAGTGTAAACGTCATTCAGGATTGTTGTACATAATGTGAGACATCATCTTATTTTCCCCTCAAAAAAGGTATTCGAATTGCGCGGCCAAAGTACCATTTGACAAAAAACCGCTGACGTCACTTTGGTAACCTAAAATCGAATTCAGTCGAATTCGGCAACGAGGGCGATATTATGTTGCTGGTGCCCCGGCTCTGACCAGCAAAGCTGTCAGAATAGATCGTTCCGGCACCGGGCATAGTATGTTTCAGTTCCCGAACGATCCACATTGTGAGAGAAAAATGGGTGAAATTTGTCTGCAGACAAAGACACGATCGTAACGATCCAACTTGGCCGTAAACGTCGCTTTGTTGGGCAAATTTTGAACAATTATGCTATAAGCAAAACTTGTCCATATTAAACAGCATGATGGAGATCCAAGGGATGAATATGAAGCGCTTTTTGAGAAACGACACTGTGCCAACCAGGGACACTAGTTTTGTGCGTGGTGTAAATTAAATTTGAGTGTTTCTGTACCGTTTCCTTAAATTGTTTTTCTATTTTTTCTCTTTACGTACTGATACTGCTTAAAAAAGTCATTCCAAACATCCAGCTCCTTTAATATACAAATAACCTAAAAGAAACCCAGTTGAAATATCATTAAAGGTGGCGGATACAAAAGTAAGGAGGTTGAGTGACGTAATTTCCAATGGGACTGTTTCTCAGTTTTTGAACCTTTGCATTTGTGGACTCCTTTATAGAGAGTTCAGCCAAAAATAAAGAGCTGGAGCCGGATCGACCATCATTCATAATTCGTGTTCAACTGCCTCTTTTAACTGTAACAAAGTCAATTCCTCTATGGAAACGAAGGAAAATTTTCAATAGCGAGAGAATGAGTTTTGTCACCTAGCTGTAAGTATCTATATTTCTGAATGAAAGACAATTTAAAGATTAAAAGGCTATTGGCGATCTCCTTTGTCTGTCTCTGGTCTCTACCGCTTCTTTTTGTGAAATTACTTGTTTTTTTTTGTGATCATTATTCTAAAGATAATTAAAAGACACATTGCGACGTATATCCTCCCACGAATTTAAAAAAGTTAGACTCCTTTTTTTTTTGCTATTAAGACACATCTGAGGAGTACTAAAAGAAAAAAAAGGGCTATTCAACTGAATCACACTCAACTCTCCTTGGAAACATACGGAAATACCGTGGTCAATTTTTTTCCTTCTAATTGTGGAGACAACAACCTTTGACATCCAACTGTAAGTGTCGATCTTTCTCGATGAAAAACACCTCATGGCGAGCTCTTTTTATTGTTTCTGTTCTCTTCTAGTTGAATTGTTTTGAGTGATATAAAGGTGGAAGTATTTGCCTCATTTTGAAGAGCAAAGTAAAAATTGGAAAAGTCAGAGGAGGCATCCTGGCACATAAGGGTTTGTGATAGCATTGAGAGGGGATGTGAATTTGATGGAGGAGCAGGAGGACTCATCAACAAGGAAGACAATTTCGTGGAGTATGGCTGCAACGATAACAATCAGGATCACCGCTGCTCGTCTTCGCCTGCTTCCACAACCCAGCACAGGTGTTGAGCTAAATATGATTTATGACTTTTTGTGGATTCATTTTCTTCTTTAGAAAAGGAAACTCAGTCGACAAAATACCACTCTAGAAACCATTAGAGCAAGGCTAAGAACAAACAATGACATCATATGTATGCTTTTAAATGTGGTCCTCCTCAGGAGTTGAACTTGAACTAAACGTTAAATATTTCAGATGGTTACACTGACTCTTTATCAAAGAGGAATGTAGACAAACACAAGAGCTACGTCGTAGGCAACCTTAAATACTCAGCATCCATATCTTAATATTTAAATTTTGCGTTTTTAGGCGGTCTCTCTACAAACGCTTTTTACCTTGACTTTCACTATTCAAGTCATGTTCCATAGATAACACTATTACATTTTAAAAGTCAAAAGCTAAATAAAATCGTCTTCTTTCACATTCGTCGTTGAAAAGTCGTCTACTTTCAATCTTTGAAATTTTTTGTTCAATGAGAAAAAATCTAAGTATGAATGAAATAAAAACTTCATATCATGGAAAGGGCGATGCATCAAAATACTTATTCATTCGCTGCGCTCACTTGTTCGTTTTTTTTGTGGTGTATCGCAACCCGTGAATAAAACTCGTTCGTACGCACTTTCCATGGAATAATCTCTATGTATTCGAGATAGTTGGGGGTGAACATGCAAAATCATAATCCTATTCTGACTCGTATTGTTCTCTATTGGACAAGAGCTGCCAGATTTCGGTCAAAAAAAAAAGGTAACTCCATACTCTGAATGGCTACATTGTACATGCGTGGGTGGCCGATTAAAATGCCCAGAATTATCTGGAATCCAGTTCAAACGCACGCAACATTGACGTGTTACTCATCAATAATGGCGAAATGGTGGATGAAAGCCTCTGAATTGGCTGAAAACCTCAATTAATGTAGGGCCCGACAGATTGACGTAAACCGATCCGCAAATAGGGACTTTAGGGAAGACGGCGAGCGGAAGTTTAAAATATTTGCTGGCGCATTTCCGGTAGCCGGTGCGCGAAGTTTCCCACCGTAGCTGTGTTGTCTGCGACGTCAAAACGAAGTGTTTGTCTTTTGTCTAAAAAACGTAAGTAAGTTTTTTTTTACTTTAAGGTCATTTCAAATGAACTTATTGTATATTTTCAGTATATAATGAACTGTCAACATTTTTCCTGACCGAAGTTTCTTTCTCCCTCTAAACAGCTTCAAAACTTCGTGACTCAAATAGGTTGAAATGGAGACGAGTTCAAATAAGAAAGTCCAGTAAGTTGTTCTCAGTTCATATTCGTAATGAGTATTAAAACTAAACCAGGAATTTAGTCTAAATGATTTCCACGAGTTTTTTTAAGGAAAAAAATCGCTGAAGCTAAACATTATTGTAGTTTTTCAGATTCAAAGTCAGTGAGCTTGCTGTTAGAGAAAGAAACCTACTGCTGAGCGAGAAATTTAAAACAAAGATGAAAGAAGAAGAGAAGGCAAGTGGAATTGAATGTCATTTGAGTAGGTTGGAAAAGGCTCTGGAAGAAATAGCCGCAGCTGCAGCTGAAGACACCGTTGAAAACGATAAGAAGAAAACTGACAACGCAAAAGCAGCGGAAATGAGAAACAGAGGCTGTAGAAAACCTTAGCAGAAAGGCAGCGGCTTTTTTCATGCATATTATTAATTTTATTTGTAATCACATGATTTTTGTCGTGCAATTTGGAGTTAATAAGCACTTGCAAATTTTTTCAAAGACCACAATTTTGTTGGTCTTGGAAAAAATTTACAACTGCTTATTTATTCCGAAGTGCACTCGAAATCATATGATTACCGATACTAAAATGTATCGTAAATTGCGCGCACACGTACCCATTACTTAAGCTGCGTGCATTATATCTCAACAGTGCACTCGTGTGACGTAAGGCGCGTGCATTATGGAAATATAATGAAATCGTTCTGACCAATCACGGCGCGCCTATTTCTCTGAACGTTTTATAAGAGAGTATAGAGCATAGAGCTGAGCTAAAGCTGTCACGCTATCCGCCAAATTGCACTATGTCCAACCTTTTCCGGGACTTCTCTCTAGCTTTTTTTCGATAATTAAAAGCGAAATTTCGGAACAAGCGAGCCGCCAAGTAGCAACAGACGAACCCAACCAAGGTTTGTAAACATGCCAGGCACCGTAATTTACGTTATTGAAACGGGAGCAGAGACGAAAATCCTCAAAGAGAAAACAATATGGACAGTCCGAGTTTTAAAGGTTTTCACGCTCAGTTAGATTGCGAGCTTACGTACAGTAACAAAAATCAAACACAGCTATCACTTGTATAGTATATAAAGCTTTGTGTTCAAAAACAAAACAGAACAAAACAGGAATGATGAAAAATATAACCAAACTGGCCTAGCTGTTAAAATTCATACCTATCATGTCAGAGCGAATGTGACCATGCTGAGTCCAT